CTTTGGATGCTAAGTGGGTCATGCCGAGATCAGTTAAGGAACACCTTTGTAGCTGGAAGTTGAAGGGTCTAAGTAAGAGAGGGAAGCTATTGTGGAAGATAATCACAACTGATGTTCTGTGGTCCATTTGGGTTGAAAGGAATAGTAGACTCTTCTGTAATAGGTCTAAGGGTCTTGATGATGTAATCCAGAGGGCTGTGGGTAAGCTGATTTCTTGGATTTCCATTTCTGGGGAGATCAGAGATCTTAGTTTGCCCGTTTTGTTTCAGTCTTGCTCCTGGTGGAGATTGGAATCCCGACTGCAGTTTAGAGCCTTCTTGGGTATGAATTGCAGTTTGTTTTCATTTCTCTGTGCTGAATAAAATTACATTATCTTTTCCAATAATAATAATAATAATATAGTTCAAAATTTATTATTATAATTTAAATTTTGAAAATATTATCTTTTACACTATTTATTATGTACATTCAAATATTAAATTAAAAAGAAAAAGATCAAACCATTTAAACGATTCAATGATCAAGTGATATGATGGCCTTTGTAAGGAATAGCACTTTGGGTTCAGATGCTTACATCCTCAATGTATTTTGGTATTAATTTCAAAGCAAGTTCCATTGAGGCCAACTAAGGCCTCTTTTTTGAGTCAATTTAGATAGGTTAAACCCCTAGGTTTTGGAACCCAGGCCTGGGGGAATCGATTCCAAGGATGCAAAACCAACCCCTACCTGGTGACAGATTGAAATAGCTTTCATTTTCTGAATAGAACCTAACTATTTGCTCACCCCTACTTTCCGCTTTGCATTGTCCCTACCTACAATCCCTACTAACAACTAAATAACAAGTAAATAAATAAAAGCAAACATATATATAATGGAAGGCTCCGCCAAATTAAATTATCTAAAAGAGACCATGTCAGTAATTTTACCATTTTACCCCTCTATTTTTTGTGGGGTACTTATTTTACCCCTCTATTAATGTTTACAACTCTGCACTGCACTATCTCAGAAATGCGCCCCTCATATTTGACCCAAAAACCCTACTCATTTCAAACCCTATCAAAGCAAAACAGTACAGTTGCCACCACCACTGCATCTTCAAACGGCACCTAAAGAGAAGAAGACAACCACCGTCGGAAAAGAAATGGATGCCGGTATTTGACTATGGCGAGTGGCGACCATTAAAACTCTGTTTTAAGCATCATTCTTGCCAACTTTTACTGAGAGGAAATCAGATGGCCAATATGGTGGTTCGACGACCTCTGAAACTGAAAACCCAATCAAGCAACGATGCCGTTGCCGCCAGCCACTGAGATGAAATAGAACACTAAAACCAATATCTTTGGTCTGCTATCATTGAAATAAAGAGGCATTGGTAGCATCAATGAAAACCTTCAGACGCAAATTACCCATTAAAGCAAGATTATTCATTTGCCTAACTCTTATTCTATTCTAAAAGAAAAGTTATGCAGGGAGAGAAGAGAGAGTGAATAGCTCGGTATGAGAACTGAATTCAAAGAAACAATCACGTTTCAGATTAAATTCACCGTTAACATGAGATTCCTTGTTCCCCAAATTCTCTTAGTTTTATCTCATGCAAATAGAGATTTACATCAATATCAAGATGAAAAATCCTCATCCCCCAATCTCATCATTCTATCTTACACATGGATTAACTTAAGAAGAGGAAAAAACCTTTGAAAGAACTTCATTGACTAGGCTGTTGACTGATGAAGATCAGATGTGATTGCCTATACATGGTTTGGGTTATTGAAGTTATTGGATTTTAAATTCATGCTCTTAGGAATACGCACATGGGTTGTGAAAACACAAATAAAACTCAGATCGATATGAGTGAATATAAATAACTCTGAATTATAGAGAGTTTGGGTGAGTGGTTCGATAGTGATTTGATATAAACTTGATCTATTTATACATAACTATATTGAACCTATATATATATATATTAAAACGAAGCGGTGAAGAAATTTTCTCTTTTTTATTTTTTTTTTTATTTTTGTCATTTTCAAGACATCCAATGAGATGCAATTTCCCAGTAACCTAAATAATCTCTTCTCCTAAAAGTTCTCCTAAACTATCTTCCCCCACTATCCCCTACTTTCTTAAAAAATTATCTCTAATTTAGTAGAGAATTTCTCTCCTAAATTATCTCTAATTCCTATTTATCCTCTCCCCTACTTCTTATCTATATCTATCTAAAGAAAGTTTGATTAAAAAAACAATAAGAATTATTTAAATTTCTAACAAAATTATGTAATAACTTTAAAATATTTATTAAAAAAAAAACACTTATACTTTTACAAAATATATCACGAAATTATGTACTAACAATTTAAATTATGTTTTCCCAAACTATCAACTTAAATGTTTTTTAAATATTTAATAATATGTAATAGCTTTAAATAAATAAAATTCAAATAACAAAAAAATTAATGTTTTATACACTATTTAAATATTTAAATAACTAAATATTTATAACTATATTTTAAATGGTTAAAATAACAAAATTATGTATCAAATTTAAAAAATTCAGAACAGTAGAAAAATAATTATAACATAATATTGAAATTAATAATAATTTAATATTTTTACATAATATTGTAAATAACTAACTTCACTTATGTCAAGTAATAATTCGAGAAAATAACTTTCAAAAAATTTAATATTTATTAATAATAATTTTAAACTCTTAATTTGTGTTTATTATATAATTTTATATACTGAAATTAATATTTTTTTGTATTTAAGTAATTATTTATTATTTTTTCTCATAAATGTATTTTTAACAATTATTGGAGATTAAACTGCTATTATTGGAAATTTTAAATTTAATTTATTGTATTTTTGTTATAACTTATTGATAAATATTTATTAAATATTAAACTATTATTTGAGATTATACTATTTATTGACTAAGTTGATATACTTTTAGTACTTATTGTAATTTTGTAATTATTGTAATTGTTGTATTTTTTCATTATCAATATATTTTCAATAATTGTGTATTTTCGCTATAAATTTTCAATAATTATTGGAGATTAAACTATTCTTATTTATCAGAGACGAGACTATTAATTTAGCTGAAATTATGAGTGTTCATGAGTTGGTTTGGTTTGGTTGTAGGCTATTTGGCCTACTAAATTGACTTGGTCAGGTTGGGGAGTTGGCCAGCTGAAAGTTAGGGTGTTCACATTAAATGTCAAATCGACCAAACTAACCAAATCGGCCCGACTCAACACGTGTTGGTTGGTTTTTCAAAACCACCAGTTGGTTTTGGTTTGTATAAGAAAATAAACTGACAACTCGGTTACATGAAAACCGAAACCAAACCGAATCAAACTGATCTTATATGTTTAAGTAATTATTAATTAGTTCCTACCCTATAAATTAAGTGTTGATATATTTTATTTGTGTTTTGTTTGAACTTTGAAAAAATTGGTTATTTATGATAAAACTAAAAAGTAAAACCAATACAAATACAATACTATTGTACAATATTTAATTCAGTTTTGTATAAGTTTAAATATATATTCACAAAAAAATCAGTTTTGCATAAAAAACTAATCGATTTAAATATATATTTTGATTTTGCATAAAAACTAAAAAGAAATAAAATTAAATATAAATAGATTTTTAGAAATAGATATTTTAGTTTAATATATATATATATATATATATATAACTAACTAAACAGATAAATCGACCCTTCATGTTTGGGTTGGTTTTGCTTCAAGGTCGGTCGGTTTCGGTTTAGTCAATAAGTAAACCGACTAGGTCGGGTCGATTGAAGAAAATGACTCAAACCGATCTAACCCGACCTGTGAACACCCCTAGCTGAAAACTGATTGACCTTTTATGAAATCTGGCCCACTCAAGGTGTATCAATTTGGGTTGATTTTTTTGGTTTGCTCAGTCGGTTCAAAAGATTTAAATTAAAAAATTTAATTTAATTTTAAAAAATACAGTGCGATTATTAAAAAATAAATTTAAATATTAGATTTATGATATAAAACATTTTATACTAAGAAATATGGGAAATTTCCCATTTTCCATATTAAAATTGTATTTAAAATATAAAATAATAATATATATCCATAGTTTGGCCGTTCGATTTTGGTCGGTTTACAAATGGCCAAAGTGAAACTGATCCAACTTGGTCGAATTGAAAAAATTTTGAATTAAAACCAACCTAAAATACTAGAAAACTAAGCAACTCAAGTCAAGTTGATCGGGTTGATTGGTTTCATCAGCGGGGCCGAGGATAGGGATTGTTTTGGCAGCGCGGGGGCGGGGGCAAGGACGAGGATTAATAGGAATCCTCAGTCGGGGCCAGGGACCGGGGATGGGGATTGTTTAAAAAAATACTATTATTTGAAAACATTTTGGGGATTTAGGTCCCCACAGGGAACCCATCCCCATTGGGGATCGAGGATGGGGGTTAATTTTAGAGTCGGGGTTGGGGAAGGGGAATATGATCCTTGCCCCGTTGCCATTCCTACACTCCTTATAGTTTTCATTTTACTAAAACGTCCCATATATTTTACAACTTATTTACCTAATCATCATTTCATTAAGGAGTGTTTATTTTCCCATTAGACCCATAATTTTTTATTCTAAAAATACCCTTGACACTTTTTTATATAGAAAACAAAATTGACCAAATATAACCAATAAAGTGGTTGCCCATGTCTTATTAAGGGCAAAAATGGTGTCTTATTTTTATTTTCTTTTGATTAAATTTATTTAAATAAACATTAAAGTCAACACTGTCATTTTCCACTATCATCTAATGCAAGATTGATTAAATCTATTACAAATTATAAGTGATGTTTTAGTAAAATGCTAATTATATGAGGGACGAAAATATAAGAGATATTTTAGTAAATGACACTTTCTATTATTTAACTTTCTGTTAATAAATTCCGTGCATGTACGGATCCCCGGTAAGAAATTAGTTTAAATTACAACAAAACTCTATCAAATAGTCTTAATAATTATTAGATCATGATAAAGTTCATCACATGTAGGGATCAGCCTGACCATTCAAACTGCATCTGCATTAATGGTGACGTGGAATGATCATTTACTATGTACGCTCTGTCTGTTTAGTGTTTACACCTCGCCATCCCAGAAGTCCTCGACGGAATTGAAGGGCCCGTTCTCTGAGACAAAGACTTCCCCACTGAGTCCCCTACGCTGTGGGATCTGACCGATCTTCTCAGATTCCTCCTCACTCAACGCCCAGTTGAATATATCCAGGTTCTCCTCCAGCCTCCTCTCGCTGCAGCTTTTCACCAGCAAACCCACCCCTTGCTCGTATACCCATCTCAGACAGACCTGCATCCGTTCAAAACCTTCCGGCATCAGAAGTGAATACCAGGTAATGGCGTAAATCATGCACCATGTTATCACTTTCAGACAGAAGCCAAAAGAAGAAAGGGCAATATATAATTAATAATAGTAAATGCAGAACCTGAGCAACAGACTTCCCTCTTGCCTCGGCAATCTCATGGAGCAACTCACAGTCCATTACTCGATTACTGCCCCAAGCGGTTCCTTGGGCTCCCAGAGGAGAGAAAGCGACCACAAGTATCCCTTTGTCTTTGCAGAAATCTCTCAGCTTCTTCTGTTGCCAAAGTGGGTTCATCTCCACCTTGATCAAATCATCACCTCACAGTCATCAGTGTTGCCCATTCATGGATTAATTTGCCTGCCAGGGAAGGGGGAGAAAGAGAGATTTGAAAACAGAATATGACACAGAGGAGAGACTCACTTGATTGACAGCAGGAGGGATCTTCGCTACCGCGAGCAAACTTTCAAGCTTCTTGCAGGAGAAGTTGCTAACTCCGATTGACTTTGTGAGGCCAAGCCTTTGGCACTCTTCCATGGCTGCCCAGACAGATTTGAAATCCATGGGAAGAAGCTCCTCCTTAATTGGAAAATCGTATCTCCCCGGTGTGGAGCTTACTGGATGGTGTATGAGATAGAGGTCAAGATACTCCAACTGTAGATTCCTGATCAAAGTATATAGTAGCGTACATTTAGTTTGCAGTGGCCCTCATCTAGAATGAACTATGGAGTAGTCATATATCTCAGACCTCAACATTTGGGTATACGTACGTGTGCTTGTGCGTATAGATTAGATTCTTTCCTTTCTCTCTCTCTATATATATATATTAAAAAAGAAGAAGAAGAAGAAGATTAGGATCAGCAGTACCGTAGAGTTGTGCGAAGAGCTGGGAGGACAAGATGAGGATGCGCATCGCTGCACCATAGTTTGGAGGTGATAAAGAGTTCATCCCGAGATTTGATGAGACCAAGGCGAAGGGCTTCGGCTATTGCTTTACCCAGATGCTGTTCGCTCTGGTAAACGGCCGCAGTGTCAAAGTGTCTGTAACCAATCTCGATTGCTCCGAGTATCGGCAACTTGGATGATTCAGAGGCATCCAAGTGATAACCAGCCGTCCCCATACCCACCAGAGGCACATGGTATCCGGAGCTAAGGAGCACTTGGGGAACGTTTGCCATCTTCCAAATCCTGGTATGGTAAAGAATTTTGTTCACAACTCACCAGTTGTAAAGCTAATTATATGCTCTGTTTGTTTGCCTTCCCGATTTCCTTTGCGTGGTTTAAATGCATGCCATACGAGTGCAGCTGACCAGATCTTCTGACCAAATAATGATGTTGCTGTGTCCACATACCTCAGTCGCCCACCGCCCACTGGTCAGCAGCTGAGGTGTTATCTGTGGCCAGTTACGAAGTGTTTCCGATGGGAAGTGATGTAGGCGTACATGGCACGTCCAGTAATACACGGACACGTGGCATCTTTAGAGGGCTATGCACGGCATATATCGCATCCTAACCGTCCACTTATAATTAACTTCACTCGCTACGTAATCTATCTTGGCATTTATTACTCTCAACTCTCTAGCTTCCTACCTTGCGTATTGCGCCCGAACCGTTGGGGTCTCCGTGAGAAATTGTTTATCATTATCTTTCATCATTTCTCTTAAATATATCATAACTTTTCAAAACATACATGGAAATCATGTCAATAAGTTGAGTTAAATATAATAGACCACCATATGTTGGTAGATTACTATTTTACTTTTGTTCTGTTATAAATGTAAAATAAAGCAAAACTTTGTTAAAAAAATAACAAAATTATATTTCAAATATTTCAGTCTAAATTTTTTTTTTATTAAGGCTCAGTTTGGAAGGAATAATAATGCAAATATGTAGAATGCAAAACCTTATATTTTGTATTATTTTGTATGTATTTATGCTGTACATTATTTGCATTTGTACTCTTTCTAAAATGGGCCTAAGTAAAAAGGGAGATTCAAATAAAAAAAGAATGCTTTTGATTCAGATGAAACTCATCGCTCCATGTCTACTTTCACATCACAACTAACACTTTATCCCTTTTGATTTCAAATGCAACAAGAACTAAGATCAAGAAAAGATCTATGGTCAAGAAGAGGACATGTGGCTCTGTAGGACCCAACGTCCACTTTGATTGAATGTCAATTAGAATAAAGGTGTATTAAATAAAAATTAGGCTAATATAAAAATATTTGAATTCGAATCACATCAGGAAATATCTGAATTTGAATCCAATTAGAAAATTCAATATCTGAATTTGGTTCGATATCTAATGGATATTGAAAATTAATATTCAAATTTGAATTCGATTAAATATTCAAATATTCGATTTGATTCGAATTCAACCAATTAATTACTTTAGGTAATTAATAAATATACAAAATAAATATTTTATTTATATAAAGTATATAAATATATAAATTATTTATATAATTTAATTATTATATATATATATATATATTATACAAAACATTAAAATATTTTATATATTATATATAAGAATAAAATAATCGATCAAATTCGGACATTTATCAAATCGAATATGGTCATATCCAAATTTGAATCTGATTAGCTATTCGGTATGAATAGGATATTTGAATTCGACTTATTAGATGTTCGAATTATATGAATTATATTCAATTATGTCAAATCTCGAATTCAAAATCGAATTTTCAAATACCCTTGACTCCCCTAAATGTGGACAACTTTTGTCAATGAACACTAAGATTGCTTTGACGGATACGGATTGTAAGTTTTGGAAAACAAAAAATCATTAACATGGGATACCTGGATATTTTGAAAAGTTATGGTGAATTAAGGCAAATGCAAGTATCGTTCATGGGAATTCCGTATAAATAGAATCTGTTCACACTGTTCATGGGAATAAATCATACATTCGAGTGATCAACCTGAGGATACGATGCTACGATGTGCCAATGACGACGGGGATATAGATACTTACTAGACACAAGGGCCAAGATGATGCAAGGGATGAACCCATAGAGCACATACACAATAGAATTTCTTCAAGAAATTGCAAATCTGCAAATGTGCTTCAAGAAGTTAAATCATCGCATTGATGGAGAGTCAGAGAGTCTCGCCAGTGGTCTGATGATGTAAAAGCAAAACGGATTTAATTAGCACCGGCACAATTTCTTTAACGAGAGAAGAACATACAAGTGAAGTTGTCAAGAAGACGACGGTTAGAGGAGATTTTTTGAGAAATCTGATTGAAACAGGCGCCGGCGAGAGGAGCTTCGTGAGATCTGGGGGAATAATATCAGATGAGCCGGAGTGCCGGACCTAGTCAAAACTCGGAGTTACGGTTTTGGAATTTGGAAATCGGATCTCTTCTCTTGAACGAGAACAGGAATTAGTGGATGGACGCTCGAAAGTGAATGAATGTTGTTATCTTATCTGTCATTCCGTCTCGTCTCAATTGATGAGAAATGTCCACATTCCCATTGGTGGGGCCCATCCAAGATAGCATTTGATTAGGTGTCCAGTACTGGTCAGAAAAAACAAAGGCATCCATTGGCCATTCTTGGCATGTGAATCCTACGGCCTACGGGAGTGCGAGAAGCGTACGTTCATCGCTCTGAACTCTGAACTCTCAAGGCAAACAGCAACAGTAACAGGATGAGAGCGTTGTTTCGTCGTCAGGCGCTTCCATTCCACCATTCTCCCGATTCTTTCTTTCTTGCTGGTTATATCCATTCTAGTCTCTAGACTAGATTCTTAGCCCTTACAGACTTACAGCATGAATTGATGAGCCAACTCTACACTAGGCGATACAGTTTTGTCCAGATTTTTCTCCTAAATCTACCACCAAACCCCTTTTCCTAATTAACTGAGATCCATAATCCATGTTCAAGTTTGGCACTTTTTGTTATTGTTCTGTCAAATCTTTACTTGGCCGCACGACAGTTTTTTTTTTTTTTTCTTTTCTGGCCTTCTAGCGAGTTGTATCTTTTTAGATGTAGAATCTTCATTTATCTTTCTATTTAAGTTTTAAATTTGGGTAAAAGACTTTAACCTTCCTTCACTTACGGTTAAGTTTGTTTTCAATGCAAATGCGAATCGACTTAAAATTCCATTATCCGTTCACATTTGCACGCAGTTGTTTTCGGCGTAAATGTAGACTGATGTAAAACTTCACACTGGGTCCGTATTTGCATGCGTTTGTAATTCAAATAAAACAAATACAGCCAAATATTAAAATCTCCCCTTTCTTTTCAAAGTGGACATGGGCCTCCTCTGTTGGAATTAATGTTCTAATTTTCAAATTAATGGAATCTCTGGTCATAGAACAAGGTGAGACTCAAACCCAAATTCCCAATCTCAAGCTTGTGCCTTTGAAAATTTGGAAACTGGCCGCTTTTCTACCATATGACTTGTTAAGAAAACTGAAGACACAATGGAGTATAGCGGGTGAGGGTGCTGCTATTGCTAATGTTCAGAGGAGTGACATCACCAACAATGTACCATCATCTCCAGCTGCAGGGAAGCTCACATATGTTCAAATAAAGCTTAAACCAGGTGAACATTTAGGTCCAGCTTGGTTCGATATTGTTCTTACTGTTGGAGAAGAATGGGATCACTGTAACATTGGAGGAGAAGTTCTGAGGCGCGTTTGAAGACACTGTCTTTAGAACGTTATTTGCCCCCATTCAGTTTTACTGAGTTTGCTGTTGGGTTACAAATAAATTCGTCCCCAGGATACAATAGAGCCTTGAGCGAGAATCTGCAACCAGTAAAGTTGAAGAGTCTCCAGAGAAACCTTCTATGAGACTGTAGCAGACCGGACTGAGAGAGAGAGAGAGAGAGAGAGAGTGAATTTCGAAATTGTGTGTTTTGGAGTCTGATTCATGCTCCTTAAATAATTTGTGAAGAGGTTTGAAGAAAAGGTAGGTGCTGGTTTAGAGAAGGCACCTTGAACAATCACAATTTCAAACATTGTGGTTGTTTAAAAAGTAGTTAACAGTTGGTGACTGTTAACTTTGAAGTGTGCCTCTTGATCACACCCGATCGAATCATGACCGTTGATGAGATCAACGGTCATCAACGCACCAAAACCAGAGCCGTCCATCGTGAGCCACGCGGGTGTGCGAGCAAAGTGCGCCTCTAAAGCGCCACACACACGCGCGCACACGTGTGCGCGCGCGTTGCACGGTATCGAATCCCCATACTCTCCTCTACTAATTCTAAGGAGTGTAAATCAGCTCCTATTGAAATACTAAAAACAAACCTTATAATTATCCAATGTGGGACAAGTTCAAAATCGGGTTTTTGTAAGAGAAAAACAGATTTTTAAATCAAGTGTGTAGGTGCAATTTCTCATGTAATTGACCAATCAAACCCATTGGATTTAATCTCTTATGAGATTAAAATCCAGTAATCCCCCACATTGATTGATCAATTACATAGTTCTCTCTCAATCCAAA